GCGATGCGATGCGATGCGATGCGATGCGATGCGATGCGATGGGATGGGATGGGATGGGATGGGATGGGATGGGATGGGATGGGATGGGATGGGATGGGATGGGATGGGATGGGATGGGATGGGATGGGATGGGATGGGATGGGATGGGAATCGGGAGCAAACATATTGGGGACACCCAACACAGCACCCACCACACCACCCACCCCAGCACCCAGGTAACACCGAGCACAGCACACCCTCCAGAGCTGGATCTTGTGGAAGAGCATGGGAGGCAACGAGTCCTTGATTCGACCTAATGAGGCGGCTCAACAGTCACCTCAGCACGCGTGAGCATCACAGAACGTGAGAGCACATGAAAGCACCCACCAGCACGTGAGATCAGCACACAGCACACCCACCAGAGCTGGATCTTGTGGAAGAGAACAGCAGGCAGCGAGTCCTTGGGTCGCCCGAGCGCCACTGCCACGCCCTCCAGCATCTCCTCCTTCACCCGCGCTGCCCTCGCCAGAGGGATGTTTTCCTGGTTGTGACAGTAGCGAGGGGTGGGGAAGGAGGGCAATCAACGAGGGTGGACATGGGCATGGGCATGGTTGCTAGGGTTCTTTTATGAATCTTGGTATTGTGTAGTCTAGTGGCATTCAGATGTTCTGAGCTCGGCCTAGTGCCGCTGCCACGCCCTCCAGCATCTCCTCCTTCACCCGTGCAGCCCTGGCTAGAGGAGGGATGCTCTCTCCTGATTGTGTGGAAGGAATGAGAAGTTAAGAGGAATGTGAATGGAGTGACAGCTGCTAAGGGTAGTAACGGAATATAGGCGTCCATGTTTTGCGAGAGCGCTGCTGCCACGACACGCTCTCCAGCATCTCCTGCTTCACCCTCACTGCCCTCGTCAAAGGGATGTTCTCCTGGTTGTGACAGTAACGAGGGGTGGGCATGCATGGAGGGATCAAAGGAAAGGGTGGAGATGGAGTGACAGAGTAACGGTCAATTTAGAGTCAACTCGAAAGTCATGGATATAAACTGCCACAGCACCCCAGTATCTGACAAGGGTTTTACTATGTGATGCTCCCAATGCAAGAACGGCTTACATACTATACTACCGTCTGTCTCCCATTTATGAGACGGTGCTCTCAAAACTGTCCCTCCCACCCACCTGGGGCACTTTGTTGCGCTTGCCATACGCCGCACTGCTGAACACCGTCCAGCACTCCACGCCCGCTTCACCCCTCCGCACCGCACCCGATCCCTCCCCGCCGTCCCCTCTCCCCGCCCCCGCCTTTTCCCCCAGCTTGGCAGTGTTGTTGCACATCCACGCGACAGCTGGCACGCCCTCCACGAAGGCGGCATCGAAGTGGCCACGTGGCGCACTGCCATTGGCCAGCAGAGGCGTCTCGAATGCGATGAGGGACGCCCAGATGGAGCTCAGCTCGAGGCGCTGTAAGGTGGTGAAGAGGGGAGGCGGTTGGAAGATATCAGAAGGGGGAGAGGAGGTAGGCGGTCTCGAATGCGATGAGGGATGCCCAGATGGAGCTCAGCTCGAGGCGCTGGGGGATAGAGGTGAAATGAGGGGCAGAGATGGAGGGAGGGGCGAGTGAGGGAGGAGGGAGGGGGGTTGGGAGATAGGAGAAAGAAGAGAGAAGGTTGGGGTTTAGCAGGAACGCAGGAGAGAAGTTTAGGTGCGTGAAAATTGAGAAGAGGATTCAAATCAGACAGAGCTCAGCTCTTGAAGGGACTCAACTCAGGTATTGCATAATGGACGGTCGGATGTCCAGGGAGGCGGAGAGGGATGAACGGTGGGAGAAGGGATCAGAGAACATTGTGGGGTTGAGGAATTGGGTTGAGAGCAATAGATGCTGGGAGTGAGTGAGTGAGTGAGGCCGTCAGCCTGAGGCAAACGAGTGCCTGGAAGTCTCTAGACGCACTGTAGGATGCAGTAAGAGGAGCTAACAGTGCAGGGAGCGGGGTGGGAGTAGAGGGAGAAGGGAGTGTGGAAAGGATTGGAATTGGCAGAGGTGCGGGCAATGGGAGAAATGAAAGAGGAAGAAAGAGGAGGATGCAAGTGGGAGAAGGAAAGGTGTGGGTTGTGGACAAACCGGCAGGGGATGGCCGTGACCCGTCCATGCGAGGGAGAGAGAAACGGATTCGGGTGAAGGGCACAAAGGGATAGACATGCCAAAGGGATTCCTCCTTGTGTGATGCACTTATGCCATCTCCATTTTGCTATAATGCCATTTCCAATTTAGCTGTCCAGAACCGCCTCTCATTAGTCCACACCCTTCCCCTTCCTTCATCCACCATACTATTCCCCTGCCCCCTCCTCACTGTTACGCCCCTTCGTCAACACCACCAGGCTTCACATCACAACGCCCCCCCTCCCCTGCCCTTGCGCCTACCTTCATCTGTCTCGCAATCTTTGGGATACCCGCGGGAGCGAGAAGGCGGTTGGCGCACTTTCCTGGAAGGAGCAACAGAAAAGATGAGATGCGATGAGGGGAAGAGCGATGAGGGGAAAAATGATGAGGGGAAGAGAGCTGAGGGGACGAGCGATGAGGAGCAGTGGGGAAGTGGTGAAAAGAGGGTTTCGGGGGGGGGGGAGGTCATGAGAGAGGCCCATTAGATGGGGGTCATGAGAGAGGCCCATTAGACGGGGGTCATGAGAGAGGCCCATTAGACGGGGGTCATGAGAGAGGCCCATTAGACGGGGGTCATGAGAGAGGCCCATTAGCTCCATCGCCCTTGTCAGACGAGGGTCTCTGTGTGCTCGCGGCTCGCCTTTCCTCGTGTCACAAGGGGGGTCTGATCCTGATACAAGGGCATAACATAACAGCATGCACTGCAAGACGAACACGCCCTGTCTCTCATGCACGGATGAGAAACACACATGAAGGTGAAGACGGTTTGACACATTATCACAGGCATACATCACGATGCATGCACCCCCATCACACCTTAACTTCAACATGCGCCCTCACACCCTCCCATCCATCCACCCTCCCATCCAACCATCCATCCATCCACCCACCCACCATTGTGTGCAATGACGACAAAGTCAAACTCCCCTGCCTTGCGCCCTGTTTCCTCCACCACCCACTTTCCCCCTCTCGCCCTCATCTTCCCTATCCACACAGGCCGCTCCACCCCCACCACGCCCTCTCTGACCTGTAGGCAGGGGGGTTGATTAGCAGGGGGAGGTGGAGTGATAGAGGGGGATGAAAGGGGGGAGAACACGGAGTGAGGAGGGTGATCAGACGGGGCCTCATCTCCACTATCCACACCAGCCACTCCACTACCACCACACCCTCCCTCACTTGTGCTTTGGGGGTTGAGAGGGGGGTTTAGGGAGGGTAGATGGGATATACGGTGCAAGGAGGGTGATCAGATACGCCTCGCCTGCATCTTGTCTCATCTACCTTCCCACACCGGCCGCTCTACTCCTACCTCGCCCTCCCTCACCTGTATGCAGGGTGGTAGAGAGGGAGGGTGACGGGTGGGAGAGGGGAGCGGATATACAGTGAATGCAAGGAGAGAGATTAGATTTTCCTTGCACTGGCCGCATCTTCCCTATCCACACACTGGCCGCTCCGCCCCCACCACGCCCTCCCTCACTTGTGAAAAGAGGGGTGTCGGGGGGGAGGGAGGGAGGGGAGGAGATTGGATTGACAGTGCAAGGAGGGTAATTAGATAGGAAACGCCCTTGTTCCCTGCCCACACTGGCCGCTCCACACCCCAAACAACGCCTCCCTCACCTGTGCTCAGAGGATGATGGGAGGGGGTGACGTGAGGGGGGAATACAGAACGTTGAAGGCTGACCTCATTTCCCTGTCCGTCTCTGCTCTTGAGGGTTGACAGTTGAAATGAAACCATGCCGTCGGTCACACAAACCTTATCCGCGATCAAAAGCCAATACTGAAAGTTGCAAGTTGAAATAGGAAATGACACAGCCAGCTGCATACACACACCTTCATCCACAATCAAAGAATGAAAGTAAGAAAAAGGACATGCTGGTGGCTGTGCTGTGCTGTGCTGTGCTGTGCGGTGCTGTGCTGTGCGGTGCGGTGCTGTGCTGTGCTGTGCTGTGCAGTGCTGTGCGGTGCTGTGCTGTGCTGTGCTGTGCTGTGCTGTGCTGTGCTGTGCGGTGCGGTGCTGTGCGGTGCTGTGCTGTGCTGTGCGGTGCTGTGCTGTGCGGTGCTGTGCGGTGCTGTGCTGTGCTGTGCTGTGCTGTGCGGTGCTGTGCTGTGCTGTGCTGTGCTGTGCTGTGCGGTGCTGTGCTGTGCTGTGCTGTGCTGTGCTGTGCTGTGCTGTGCTGTGCGGTGCTGTGCGGTGCGGTGCTGTGCTGTGCTGTGCTGTGCTGTGCGGTGCTGTGCTGTGCTGTGCGGTGCTGTGCTGTGCTGTGCGGTGCTGTGCTGTGCGGTGCTGTGCTGTGCTGTGCTGTGCTTGTCAGAATGTTATGTTTTGTCTAGCCTGCAGTGGGGTACTCAATAGTGAGTACAGCCCAATTTAGGGTTTGCTATATGTACTCAACTGCTTGCTAGTGAAACCCCCCTTTTCACTCTTTCTCATTTCTAACTTCCCTTGTTCTTAATATGGAATCAGAGCAGGTCGACCCTCACGGGTCGATCCTGTGGATGGGCCCACCCAATGCTTCCGCTGCTGCTACTCTGTCCATCGCGCGCCCGAGGCGCGCACTGCCTGCTTGCCGCGCGCCCGTGGCGCGCGGCAATTTTTTCTTCCCGCCGCGCGCTTCGAGCGCGCGGCGGTTTTCTTCCTGCCTGCCCGTCGTGCGCCCCGCTGGCGCGCGACGGAGCCCTGCCCGTCGTGCGCCCCGTCGCGCGCGACGGTGCAAAGCCCGTCGCGCGCCCCGTGGCGCGCGACGGTGCACAGCCCGTCGTGCGCCCCGAGACGCGCGGCGGGTTTCGTCGCCTGTCGCGGCGACCTGGGGGCCTGTTGCGGCCCCGTCCCGGACCTGCCCCGGCCCCGACTCTGCCTTGGCCCTGCTCCTGCACTGTCACAGCCCGGCCCCGACCCTGCCCCGGCCCTGTCCCGGTCCTGCCTCGGCTCTGCCCCGGCCCAATTCCTGTCGCCTGTCGAGGCGACCCCGGGGGGGGCCGCGACTGCGGGGGGCCACGCGTCGGCCCCTCCTGTCTTCGTCGCGGCCCTGCCCCCCCCCCCCGTACCCTCCCTACCCGCCCTCTACGGCCCTACCCTGTGTTAGGGTTTGGGGATGGCGGGTGGGGGGTGGCAGGTGTGAGGCATCTCCTGCTCCTCCTCCTCCTCCGTCTCCCACTGCTGCAGCTGCCGCTGAGGGGGGTGGGTGTGTGTGAGTCGACGGAGTGGTGCTAGGGGGTGGAGTGTGAGTGAACCTAGGGGTGCAGCAGGGGGTGTGTGAAAGGGGGGTGAGACAGTTAGAGGGAGGTTGGGCGGAGGCAGCTGTCGTGTCGCCAGCAGCGCCAGTAGTCCGGAGGCTACAATCTCCGGTAGCCCAGCGAGCCAGTAGTCCGGAGGCTACAATCTCCGGTCGCCAGCTGCGCCAGTCGCCCGTGGGTCCGTTGCTCCTGCAGCTCAGAGTTAGTCGCGGAGCCAGTTACTCCAGTAGTCCGGAGGCTACAATCTCCGGTAGCCACAGTGCGCGCCGCTCCTGTTGCCCGTGTGTCTGCAGCTTCACCTGTCGTCTCCTATCTCTTCTCCTCTCACAGTCCCTCCTCCTCCTCACTTACCGTCTGTGACTGTCTCTAGCTTTGCTTATATTTGTGAACTATAAACTGCTACTTCTTGTACTTGTGCTCAGAATGTGTGGTGACTTTGTGATCCACCCTGAGCTTGTTCTGCTTTGCTTGTTGTGCTGATTATACCCCACTTTGGCTATGGGGGTGTGTCAGAATGTTATGTTTTGTCTAGCCTGCAGTGGGGTACTCAATAGTGAGTACAGCCCAATTTAGGGTTTGCTATATGTACTCAACTGCTTGCTAGTGAAACCCCCCCTTTCACTCTTTCTCATTTCTACCTTCCCTTGTTCTTAACAGTGCTGTGCTGTGCTGTGCTGTGCTGTGCTGTGCGGTGCTGTGCTGTGCTGTGCTGTGCTGTGCTGTGCTGTGCTGTGCTGTGCTGTGCGGTGCGGTGCTGTGCTGTGCTGTGCTGTGCTGTGCTGTGCTGTGCTGTGCGGTGCGGTGCTGTGCTGTGCTGTGCTGTGCTGTGCTGTGCGGTGCTGTGCTGTGCTGTGCTGTGCTGTGCTGTGCTGTGCTGTGCTGTGCTGTGCTGTGCTGTGCTGTGCTGTGCTGTGCTGTGCTGTGCTGTGCTGTGCTGCACGCACCTTGTCCGCAATCACGTGCTCGCAGAATGCCCTCATGCCACGGGGGCTGATGAGCCTCCTCGCCTCTTCACCACCATTGCTGCCACCACCACCAGGGGTTGGCAGCTCCGAGAATGCCCCCCCTGCCTGCAGCGTGCCTATGCGCCCCTCTTCCCACACCCGCAGCGCATCTTCCTTGAGCCACCTGGTGGTGCGTGGTGGAGTGAGGTTGAGAGCGGAGTGAGGTGGAGTGAGGTGGAGTGAGATGGAGTGAGATGGAGAGAGGTGGAGTGAGGTGGAGTGAGGTTGAGTGATTGATGCGGTGAAGCTATCACATGCAGGAAAGCAACAACAGGGCCATCACAGCACGTGCACAGCAGCAGAGAACAACACTTCAGCCCGAGACTGCCAGCCCGAGACTGCTGCCAGCCCGAGACTGCCAGCCCGAGACTGCCAGCAGCCCATCCGTCCACCTCAAAACCATAGCAGCCTATTTTGAAGGCTGCTGACCTGTCAGCAAATGACTGGATGTCAGAACGGTCAGAAGCTGCACACCTGTTGACGTATGATTGGAAGTGTGAATCTGTAACGGTGAAGAACTGTGCTGCGTGGTCAAATAGGTGCAGCTTCCCAGCAACTTCCACCTCCCGAGTGGCCATCCGCCCGCCCAACCCGTGCTTGCCCTGCCGCAAGGGGAGCAGACAGGACGAGGAGAGGGAAAATGCGCGAGAGGGGGAAGGGGAGAGAGAGGGTGAAAAAGGAGAGGGTGGAATGGGGATGATGTGGAAAGAGAGAGGTGTACAGGGGTGGGTGAAGGAGAGGAGAGAAGGGAAGAGCAGAAGAGGCAGGGGGCATGGCGGCGAGATGTGCACACCCTTGTTCCCTCAGCATGATTCCTTCGGAACTTGAGTGGACCCCTGCAGCCGGTCCCGTGCCTCCCTTCCCACACATCACAATGCTCGGTTAAACCCCTTATAAGCCCCTGCTAAAACCCGAGTAACCTCCACCAAGCTCCAAGTAACCCCCTGCAAGGCCCCCCCTTACAGCGTCGAGCACGTTGCTGCGGATGCCGCGTTCCGCCGGCCCCAGCGCGCACATCAGCCCCTGCTAAGCCCTCCTGAATCGCTACAAACCCCCTCCTGAACCGCTACTGAACCCCCTGCAAAACCCTCCCATACAGTATCAAAAACGGTGCTGCGGATGCCGCGCTCCGCCAGCCCCAGCGCGCACATCAGCCCCGCCATGCCGCCGCCCAGAATCGCCACGTGCGGGTCGCGACTCATTGGCTCCGGGAATTCCGCGGGCTCCAGCACGACGTGGCTGCGCTTCTGCCGCTCGCGCCTTCCGCTCCCGCCGCCCTCGCGCGCTTCCCCCTCCGCTCCTGCGCCATCCCCGTTCTCCCCCGCCTGCTGCGCGTCCCCGCTTGCCCTCCCGCGCGCAGGCTTACCGCCGCCCCGCTTATTCTTCCCCCCCGAAGGCCTGCTCTCACCCCGCCCGCCCTTCTCCGCAATCCGTCGCGCAGCGCCGGAAATCGCGCTCTCGCTGCTGCTGCTGCTGCTGCTGCCGCCCGTGCGGCTCCACTGCTTCGCGAACGAGCTCGGCTTCTCGCCCTCGCCGGCAGCCGCGCATCGTACGGACGAGCGCGATCCGCGGACTAATCTGCACGGTAAATCCCTCTCTGCACGAGCTAGGCCCTCAACAAGCAACTCCCCTGGATGGTTGCTCCTGACGGTTTCTCGAGGTATCAACCTTGGTCTTATGTCGGCGCTGAGAGATTTCTGACTGTTTTTTAGGAGAAAAGGAGTGCGAAGGGACGAGCATGACTGGAGCAAAGCAGCGGACGCCATGACGGCTAGGCGCGTCGCGAAGCTTGAGAAGCGGAGCGTAATGACTAGGTGGTCTTCGATCTCCGCCAAAGATAGAGATACTCTGTGATATAAGGGGCATTATTCTGAATCCAAGTGTATCGTACTTCATGTATAACCGCTTATAGCAAGAATATATGATGCGTAACAAAGAATCAGTCAAATTTTAAATAATTTACAAACAAGGTGTAAAAGTTAATTTTTTTTTATCAAAATGCCACCAAATTGATCAAATAATCATTTTTTTATTCAACCGCTTTCAAAACTACACAGACTTTCATGAGAATGACTTTTTTGTACCTTTTGTGTATGTGCTGAGCACCATTATGGTAGATTGGCTAATAAACGGGAAGCTACTATTGCGTAGTTTCGGGCCTGTCCTGCAGCTGGATTTTGCGTGGCAGCAGCTTCGACCTTCCTCCTCACCCTCGCATTCCTCTCTGCCCACTCGCCACCTCAACGCCTTCTAAACTCCTTCCCCGTCTCGCTTTACGCATTCTGTTCTTGGTTGCGCTACCTCTAAAAGCTCCTAAGCATCCGTTCGTTCTTCTACGCCTACTCACGTTAACCTACACGCTACAGTCATAGCAATCTTTTTGTTTTCTTCTCTCTGTACTTCGTCACTGCTAGTTGAGAACTCAGAATTCAACTGTGTACTAGGGAAGTCATCTCGTTATCCCTTTCACGAACTTGGAAAAATGAGCGAGCTCGTCCCACCAGAGCCAGCCGGCCACAGCGCGCGAGTCTCTGTGGAGGTACTGTCGGCGCGCGGCCTCCGCAACAAGCGGAAGCTCCCCTTCACGCGCATGAGCCCCTGCGCGCTCGTCTCCCTCCCCGGCCGCCCCTCCTGCTGGAAAGCCTTGCCGCCAGCCGTCAGCGGCGGGCGAAACCCTACCTGGGGCGGCGGGCCGCAATTCACGGCGGAATTCGAGGTGGATGACCTTCTGCCCCGCTTAGAATCGTCTCCGCATCAGCCATCCGCCTCCGCCTTCCCTTCCGAATCTTCCTTTCCCGCCTCTCCCATTTCCTCCGCTTCCGCCGATTATAAATCTACCGCCTCGACGTTTCCCTCCCCCGCCTCCTCCGCAGCTGCATCCTTCCCCCCCGCGGCACTTCCCCCCCACGCGCGCGCGCAAGTGCGCGTGGAGCTCTTCAGCTCCGCTACCCTGCGCAAGTCGCTCGGCGCGGCCACCGTGGCGCTGGACGCGGCGCTCCGCCGACCGGGGGAGTGGCAGTTAGCGCAGCTGCCAGTGATGCGCTCGAGGCGCAACGGGGGAGACGAGCGCGCGAAGCAGAGCAGATGGGTGACGGTGCGGGTGAGGGTTTGGGGAGTTGCGGAGGCGGGGATGGGGGAGAGGGGGATGGCGGAGTGGGGAGCAGCATGCTGGCAGCCCCCGCTTGCACCCATCCCATCGTTCTACACCCAAACAGGTAGGGAGTGCGATGCTGACGTGGACGGTGCTGACGTGGACGGTGTGAGAAGAGAGGGCGTAGCAGCTGCAGCAGGTGTAGTGACAGCTGGCTCAGCAATCACCCCATCTCCATCGCCTTTAACACCTCCACCACCACCGCCTGTTACTGGTTACCCTGCCGCACCCCCTTATAGTCACACTGTGCCACCTTACTACCCTCCCAACTATCCCCCGGGACCATACGCTCAACCAACCAGCAGCACTCACCCGTACACAGCCTATGCAGGGCCGAGCAATCCCCCTGCACCATGGTACCCCTCGTTACAAGCACCTCCAGTGACGGTGTACAAGCACAGCAAGCACGGGCAGAAGAGGAGGGCGCCTGGCAGGTCGGGGATGGGTGCAGGGTTGGCGCTGGGGGCACTGGGTGGGCTGTTGGTGGGGGATGCCATTGGGGATTCGATTGGGGATGGGCTGGGAGATGCTGGAGGATTTGATTTTGGAGGGTTTGGTGACTTCGGCTTTTGATCTGATAAATGTGTAGCTTTTAATGTCTCCGGTGTAGCGAGTGTACTGATGTTTTTGTACATATGGCTAGTAAGAAGTACAAACTGTGCTGTTCACTGTGATGGTTGTGAGCAAAAAAATGGTGGGACATTTTTTGGAAGAAACTTGTTAGTGCTGTGAAGTACCGTATCAAGAAGTAAGCTATTCTGGTGTATTTCTGCATAAGGGGGAAGTTACTAATGAGGTGATTTAAGGTTGAGGGGTGCTGCTTTCCGCGTGACAGGTGCTTCCTCATCACCCTCGCCCCCTAGGAACCCCAAGACCCCCAGTGGAACAGCTCTAGGCTGTTAGTTTCTGAAGGCTAAAGCTTGGAGAGTCTAAAATGACAAGGTAAACTCAGTAGCATAAATTCTGTAAATTTCAGAAATCAAGAATGGCATACAAGGGATGAACAGCTACTCTTATACACACTTCTATGACTACGGCGCCTTGAGAAGGTCGTTCAGGCCGCCATTGATCCTCTCTCTGCTGTCACCAGCAAGGAACGGAATATGTACAAGCAATGATGACAAGCCTATGCTCTATCCTAGCTGTTTATATAGAAACATACAAAATACAATCATGAGATAGATCTAGAAAGGTACTAGCTGACTTGGTCTTCGTCTTCATGATGATAATGCTTGGGACTTGTAATGCTGGAAAGTAGTTGCCGTTGCATGCGTTGTCTTCTTGCCTTGTTGTCGTAGTGCTTCTCTGGTTTCTTCTCTCTGCTGCTTTGCTGGTTGGAGTTTCACGTGTGCTTTGAGAAATCTCGAAGCGCACATTTCAGGTTGGGAGTTCCAACCTTGAATTTCACATTTCAGGTTGGGTTTTTGGCGAAAGTTACAAGTTCGCTAGTGAGCGGACTTTCCTGTGGCGAGTTCGCCTTCGCCCTGTAACACCCAGCGACCCCCAAGGACCCCTGGGAACCCCAGCGACCAGCAGCCCTGCCCATGCCACCTCACAGCACATCCTTCCACCTCAACCCTCACGCCCTCTGTTCTCGTTCTAAAAAGCATTCCTTCAGTTTTTCAATGCCTACTATTCTTACACTTCACACTACAGTAAAAAACGTATCGTTTTTTCCCCTCCACTGTAAGACAACTTAGAATCCAAGAGTGTATTAGATAAGTCACCTCGCCCTCTCTTTCACGAACTTCGAAATATGAGCGAGCTCATCCCGCCAGCCGGCCACAACGCGCGAGTGTGCGTGGAGGTAGTATCTGCGCACGGCCTCCGCAACGAGCGGAAGCTCCCCTTCCCGCGCATGAGCCCCTGCGCGCTTGTCTCCCTCCCCGCCCGCCCCTCCTACTGGAAAGCCTTGCCGCCTGCCGTCAACGGCGGGCGAAACCCTACCTGGGGCGGCGGGCCGCAATTCACGGTGGAATTCGCGGCGGATGACCTGCTTCCCCTATTAAATTCGTCTCCGCAGCAGCCCGCCTCTTCCTTCCCTTCCGAGTCCCCCTTTCCCGCTTCTCCCTTGTCCTCCGCTTCCGCCGATTACATAACATCCACTGCTGCGACTTTACTCTCCTCCGCCTCCTCCGCAGCTGCATCCCCCCCCCCCCCGCGGCGCTTCCCCCCCACGCGCGCGCGCAAGTGCGCGTGGAGCTCTTCAGCTCCGCCTCGCTGCGAAAGTCGCTCGGCGCGGCCACGGTGGCGCTGGACGCGGCGCTCCGCCGACCAGGGGAGTGGCAGTGCGCGGAGCTGCCTGTGATGCGCGGGGGGGGAGACGAGCGCGTGACGCAGTGTGGATGGGTGACGGTGCGGGTGCGGATTGGGGGAACCGCGGAGGCGGGGAGGGGGGAGGGGGGAAGGGCGGAGAGGGGAGCAGCATGCTGGCAGCCGCCGCTTGCACCCATCCCATCGTTCTACACCTACACAGGGACTGAGGACGGTGCTGACGTGGACGGTGCTTACGTGGACTGTGTAAAGAAAGAGAATGCAGCAGTTCCAGCAGATGCAGTGCCAGCTGGCTCAGCAGCGGCACCAATCAGGGTGCCAGATCAGCTAGAGGATTCACGAAAGCCTTCATCTCACAGCCATCAGACCGCTGCACACCCATCTCCACCACCTCCAACACCTCCGCCACCACCGACTGTTATTGGTTACTCTGCCCCACCCCCTTATTGTCACGCTGTGCCACCTCCACAGGATCCGCTGCCCAATCCAGGACCTTACCCCCAATCAAGCAACCCCCCTGGGCCAGGTTACCCCTCGTTACAAGCACCTCCAGCGCCAGCGTACAAGCACAGTAAGCCTGTGTTGAAGGTACTACAGGGTTGGTGCTGGGGGCGCTGGGGGCGCTGGGTGAGCTGCTGTTGCGGAATGCAATTGGGGATGAACTGAGGGATGTTAAGAGGATTTGATTTAGGTTGATTTGATATTAGTGGAGTTTTAGCGCCTGGTGTAGCAATTGTGCACTGGTTTGTACAAGGAATTGTACTTAGCATAAATAAGGTAATAGAAATAGTGTGCCGTTCACCTCAATGGCTGTGCGAGGAAGAAAATGAAGGGAACCTTGTTTAAGCAAACTTGTTAGCGCTGTGAAGTAGCTCTATACAACTTCAGGTTGTGAGTGTTCCCTTGTCTGTGAAGCGGGACTTGTGTTACCGAGAATTAGTATCGGTACATTCTTCCGAGTTCCAGTTGTGCACATCAGCAGAGGCAATTGGCTGTCAAGGCATCACGTCACCCAGCAATGCCGAGCCGCACCTGGAAAGGTCGGGGCGCAAGCGGCCTCGGCCACCGTAGAACGCGGCACGATCGTCACGCCCACATCGTTTCGCTCGTCTTTCAATGCGAATTCCCTCTACCATCCGTTGCGTCGAAAGTCATTCGCGCGACATCGTAATGGCAACTTGCTCGCACACGAGCGTCGCACGATAGGTCGCCGTCGCAAGGGGTTGTCGCACGCGCGACGCCTCCCCCTGCCAGAGAGCACAGTCGCGCGGAGCACTGGGCTCGCGCTCTCGCGATGGACAGCGCCGGGGTCGTGCGCCGAGCCCCCTCTTCTTCCGCCGCGCGCTCGCATTCCCCTCCCCGCACGTCCGCTGCTCTCCCACGCTTCTCCCTGCGCCGCCTCCCCTTCCACCCGCGCGCCCGCCCCTTGCGCCATGGAACCGGCGTATGCACCAGCATCGGCGCGTTCTGCTGCCTCCTCTCTCTCCTTGCCCTCCTCCTCCTCCTCATCATCCTCCGCTCCACCCTTCGCCTGGCCTCCGTCGCACCCTCCGCAGCCAGCGATACGACTCAAGGCGATGCACATTCGTCTTTTCTCGACGGACTCGACGACTGCCAAGACGAATTCCGTCAACTGTTTGACGAGTTCCGTTTGCGCGAAGGAACGGACGGAATTGACTGCAGCGCGCTGCTCGACTCCGTCGCGGCGGACGACGGCGTAACTCGAGGCGGCGCGCCCCGCGCCACTCGCGCGGCAGGCACGGCAGCAGGGGAGACGAGGTCACACTACGAGAGAGCAGCGGGCGAGGAGGAAGAAGAGGAGGAGAAGCCAAGCGTGTCTGCTGCTACTGCTGCTGCTGGTAGCGAGGGCGAGGAGAGGGGTTCAGGTTCAGGTTCATTTTCAGGTTCAAACCTCACTGCGGCGTCCCTGCCTCCCCTGAGCGTGTTCGTGGAAAGCTCCTTCTTCCACCCCATGGCCTTCGCTGGTGACTCGAGCAGAAGCAGTGAGGGCGACAGCAGCATACAGGCCGAGAGCACCGACAGCAGCAGCAGCAGCAGCAGCAGCAGCAGCAGCAGCAGCAGCAGCAGCAGCAGCAGCAGCAGCAGCAGCAGCAGCAGCAGCAGCAGCAGCAGCAGCAGCAGCAGCAGCAGCAGCAGCAGCTTGGGAGGTGGCAACCAGGCATGGGGCCTGTGCATTGCCATCGCTCCCACCCACTGCTCCTGCTCCCTTCCCTCCCGCCCTCCCATTCCCCCGCCCTCCCCCCAACCCGTGCACCCCTTCCCCCTCCCCGCCCTGCGCCATCTTCTCCCCACCCATGCCACTGCGCCCACTGCAGCTGGCAGCAGCAGCAGAAGCGAGCAGCACAGTGAGTCTTCTCCCACAGATCCCACCACCGCTTCAAACCCATCTGCTCTCCTTTCACCTGCCCTGGACCTGCTGCTCTCCCTGGATCGCCACCGAGCCAAGGGGCTGCTGCTGGAACGCTCCATGCGCGCCGTGGCTTACAGCCCCGGCTGCCGAGCCTCGATGCCAGCCTCGGAAAGGAGGGACGAGTGGAGACAGCAGAGTAGTGGGGAGGAGAGAGCAGGCGAGGGGGATGGGGCGGCAGAAGAGGGGTGGGATATCGGAAGGAATGAAGCTGCAAAGACGGATGAGGGAGGGGGAGAGGGAGAGGAGGATGGAGGAGATGGTGGTGAGGGTGGAGATGGTGAGGGTGATGAGGAGGATGGGTACAGGCGGGTTCTGACGGAGCTATCAGCTGATTTTGAGGTGGATCTGGTGCAGGCGCCACCTGCCCTCTGCTCACTCGCTCGCGCCCTGCCAGCAGCAGCCAGGCAGCGGCTGCTTGGGGCCTACTCACCACGGTTTTTCCCTCCCCACCGCACTGCACACCTCTGGACGGCTCTCAGTGCCGCCTCTGCCTCGGGGCAGCAAGATGGGGCGAGGAAACAGGGGGAGTCGCAGCAGCAGCAACGGCGGCAAGGGTTGGAGGAGCAGCAGGGGGTGAAGGAGCAACAAGTGCAAGGATTGAAGGAGCAGAGGTGTGTGGAGAGAGTGAGAGCGGCGTGCATGCGGCAATGGTGGCAGCGGGAGGTGCAACGGACAGTGCAGTTCGTGCATGCTGTGCGGCAGTGCGCCGCCTCCTCCCCCCGCCACGTGCTCTTCCTGCACGCACCCCACCAGCGCACTCGGAACACAGGGACGGCAGCCAGAAGAGGAGGGGCGGAAGGGGGGGGAGGAGGAGGAGGAGGAGGAGGAGTAGGGGGGGAAGGGGGAGTGCGGGTGAGAGAGCGGTATGACTTGGCGATGGAACGGTTTGTGGTACGGGCGCTGAAGGGGAGGGACTGGGGTGTGGTGTCCCTCGCAGGCCAACGACCGGCACCACCACCCACAGCGCCAGACGCACAAGCAGGGCACGCAGTCCAAACAGGGGGCACAATAGACGCCGGGGGCACAGAGGAGGAGGGCACAGCCCAAGCAGGGGCCACAATGGACGCACGGGGCAGAGAGGCGGGGGAGACAGAACAAGCAGGAGGGGCGTCTCACGAGGGCGGGTCAGCATCAGTGCTGCGGGGTGTGAGGGGCGTGCAGGCGCTGCTGCTGCGGGGCGAGGCGAGCCACCTGCTGCCACTGCTGGCCCACGTGGAGCAGCGCTTCCTGGAAGGCCCTCTTGAAGACCTCCTTATAAGCTTCTTCAGTAAAAGTAATAAGTCCGTGCACGTGCATAAACCTCCGCTGTTCTGGCGAGAGGTGGGAGGAGGAGACGGGGGCGAAGGGAGGGAGGGGGCAGGGGAGGAGGAGGGTGGGGCTTTGGGGAAGAAGAGGGTTGGGGTGGAGGAGGAGGGGAATATGATAAATAGAATGGATGGGGCTAGTTTTGAGTCGACTCAAAACTGGGTGCAGGAGGGATGGGTTGTGGAGGACCCATTTCTTAACGAAGTCAAGGAACCCATTCGTACCGCATTGAACCCACCAGCAGCACCCGTGGGGCTGTCTTTATCGCGGAGCATGCTGGTGAGTGTCCACGGGAGGGAGGTGGTGCCGGCAGGTGCTGCTGGGAGTGTGGCGATGAGTGGCAGGGTAGAGGGGGGAGGTGGCAGGGGGGAGGGGGATGGTGGCAGCAGGGGAGAGAGGAGAGGGCCGAGTGGAACAGAAGACCACGACGCAGCAGCAGCAGGAGGGGCAGCAGCAGGGGGTATCGGCAGTGGGAGCGGTGTGACGCGAGCAGCAGTGGTGCTGTCGCCCGGCTCGTTTGCGTGTTGGGTGAGAAGCGGAGGTGAGACAGCAAGGGGTGATGAGAGGCAGATGCAAGGGGGCGAGGCGGAGGCGCAAGGGAAGGGCGGGGCTGGTGGGTTGAGAGGAGGCAATGCTGGTCGTGGTGAGAATGACTATAGTGCTGCTGCTGCTGCTGGTAATGACTATGATGATGCTTCAAGTCCATCGCCTTCTGGTGTGGCTGCAGGTGCAGCAGAGGCACCAGCGGCTGTGACAGCAAAGGGTGTGACGATAGAGGGGGTGATTCGAGGCGAGGTTGTGCTTGAGAGCCCGCTGACGGAGCAGGGGGCAGCGGCATGGACCATGGTGGCTCCGCGTGCCGTGGAGGACAAAGGGGGGCACCAGGAAGGGCCCCAGGAGGGGCAGAAGCGGGGACAGCAGGGGGAGCACGAGGGGAGACACAAGGGCGATGGTGCACACGTGGTGGTGGGTCACACAGAGACAGAGGGTGGTGCTGGTGGGTGGAAAGGTGCAGGGCACGTGGGGACGCTGGCAGAGGAGGGCTCATCAGAGCTTGTTACCATTCCCATTACGGGACGGCTTTTTCTGCCTGGAATCAAGGACCAGAAAAACGTCTGGATGGGGAATGTTTTAGGTGCGGGTGACTACACTACTGTAGATACCATACCTATTGATACCATACCTGTAGATACTACCATATCTGCCACTGTTGTTTCAGCTGCTGCCACGGCACATGGGTCTGCCAGGCTGTCAGCTCCCAGAGATGCGGTGCGGGGCACTGTGCAGATGGAGGGCGCGCTGACATGGACTGACTCAGATCCAGGTCGTGCCAGGCTGGCAGCTGAAGGGGTGGTGCTGATTGAGAAGAGGGAGAACGAGGAGGAGAGGGAAGAGGAGCGAGTGTGGGGGGTGTGGCGGGATGTGGGTGTGTGGAAGGATGCTCGTGCTGGTGATGGTGATGGTGAAGGGGTGCGGGTTGGACTGGGGAAGGGATTATCTGAAGATGGGGGGATGAGATCTGGTGATGCCGATGTGCAAGTGGGGTCAGAAGGGATGCGGGCACATGGGGGAAGTAGCCCGGGGGGAAGGCGAGGCGGGGGAGGGAAGGTGAGGGGGATGAGAGGGGCCATGTTTGTGTTTGAGGGGAGTCAGGGAGGCAGGGAGCACAGTACAGATAGCGCCAAGTCAAGTGGTGTTGATGCGAACAGGCAGGTGAAGAGAGTTCTTCTTGGAACGAGTGTTGGTGGTGGTAGGCAGGAAGGGGACGATTTTGATAGCAGGGAAAGTGATGGCAGAGGTGGCAGCAGTGCTGCCGCTATAACTAGTGGTGCGGACAAGGAGCCCATTATGTTACAATTGTCGTGCGATGGCATGGTGGAATACACTCTAACGATTTGAATCCATTTTTTGTAAAGCTTTTGTGCAGTACCTGGTTTCTCAACAAAATTCTGAGGGCTTTATTGCGTACGAATCCACGTTTAATTCCAATACAGTGGCGACAATCCATGTGGTTACCTCACGCTTCGCCTGGAGTCGTGACTCCACGCCACAATGTCTCGTTACGAGATCGACGGTCTCGATTGGCTGGACTGACACAGCCTCACTTCTCCCCCCAGCCTCCCTTGAACGGTCAGGGAAAGGCACTTGCAAACTGCCTGGGCTGGATGACCTTGCTGAAGTGTTCCAGAAAGTTCTCACTACCCTACTTAACCGATGTATTACGTCGAAAGAACCAATTGAACCGTATTCATGACCTAGTGGACAAGCCCTCCCATCCCAAGCCATCCCATCCCACTCCAGTCCCGTGCCGTGCTTTTCCTCGCCCCAGGCCCTGCCGTTGAATGCGCGCTTTCAAGTTCCTCTCTCGTTTCATCCATACGCCTTCCTCTGCCTGTGACGACGAGAGCTGGGGAATCGGAAACTTGTGAGATTTGTTCCAGCCAGGGTAGAGTCGATTTTTCAGTCCCAATTCGTCGCGACAATCCGCTGATGCATTACAGCGCGCTCTGAAGCGTGTCGGGCGGGGCACGGTGGAGCGGAGGGATGGAGCGCACGATGGTTAGCAGAGGAGCGGCAGAGGCCCGACAGGCAGATGAGCGACAGGCGTCCGAGGGCGCAGGCGAGGCGAAGGAAGACGGTCGCATGGAATTGGCGGGGGAGCGTGGGGGTGAGAAGGCAGGAGAGGGTATTGTAGCAGTTACAGCTGATGACGCAACAGTTAACGCTGATGACGCGGCATTTAACGCTGATGACGCAGCAGTTAGAGCTGATGACACAGCAGTTAAAGCAGACGATACAGTCGTTAAAGCGACAGATAAGGCCATCAAAGTGGAGGATACGACCCTTAAAGGGGACAGAACGTGCATTACAGGGGGCAATTCAGCGACTAAGATGGACGATACAGCCATTAAACCGGCCGATAAGCCCATTAAAGCGGACGATAAAGCCATTAAAGCGGACGATGATGCCAATAAAGCGGACGGTACAGCCATTATAGCGGACGATACAGCATTTAAAGCGGACGATAAAGCCATTAAAGCCGACTATAAGGCCATTAAAGCCGACGATAAAGCCATGGCTGCCTCACCTAAGGCTGCAGGCGAAGCGGCTGTTTGTGAGACAGAGAGGGCCGTGGCAGCACGGGGAGCCTCAGATAGGGCTACTGGTGAAGCTAGTAGCGTCGCCAGGTCTACTGGTGAAGCAAGTAGCGTCGCCGGGACTGCTGGCGAAGCTAGTAGCGTCGCCAGGGCAGCGGACGCAGCTAGTAGCGCCGTCCGGGCTGCAGGCGACGAGGCGAAGGCGACTTGTTTCGCTGACGAGAATGAGAAGGTGACAGGCGACGAAAGTAAGGTCGCAGCGGACGAGGGGAAGGTCGCAGCAGCAGGCGAAATGAAGGATGCAGCAGCAGGCGAAACGAAGGTTGCAGCAGCAGGCGAAATGAAGGTTGCAGCAGCAGGCGAAACGAAGGTTGCAGCAGCAGGCGAAACGAAGGTTGCAGCAGCAGGCGAAACGAAGGTTGCAGCAGCAGGCGAAACGAAGGTTGCAGCACCAGGCAAAACGAAGGTTGCAGAGAGGACCAGAGAGCAGCAGCAGGAGAGGAGGGATGAGACGACGGATGAGAGGAAGGAGGAGAGGCGGGAAGGGGAGCACCCTGAGAAGGAAGGAAGGTTTGAAAAGCAGAGTGATGTGAAGAGGCACGAGGACGTAGCAGGCAGTGCGAGGCAGGGCGAGGGGGTGAATGGAGATGAGAGAAAGGCGTCAGACAGAGGTGAGGAGAAGAGGGCGAGTGAGAGTGGGGGGACGGTGAAGGGTGAGAATGGGGAAACGAGGACTGGGGAGCAGCGTGCGGGTGAGGCAACGTGTGATGAGGGATTGAAGGGAGGTGGAGGGAAGATTGGGGGAGAGGAGGGTGGAGGAGAGGAGGGTGGGAGAGAGGAGGGTGGGAGAGAGGAGGGCGGCAAGGGGGGGGAGGGCTTCAAGAAGGGGGAAGGCGGCAAGGAGGGGGGGGGCGGCAATGAGGGGGAGGGCGGCAAGGAGGGGGGGGGCGGCAATGAGGGGGAGGGCGGCAAGGTGGGGGAGGACCGAGAGCAGCAAGGGGGCATTCGGGGAGTGGGTGGCACTCTGGCGGGGATGAGGATGGCATTGGGGAAAGCGGCATTGAGGGGAGCAGCGGTGGGGGAAGCGGGGTTGGCGGGTTTGGAGGAGGGTAGCAGTGGGAGCGAGGGACGAGAGGAGGAGGAGGAGGGGGATGAAAGATGTGGGCTTGCAATGAAGGTCAAACGCACGTGCAGCGAGGAGAGAGGGGAATTTGACAGGGAAGGGGGTTCGGGGAGGGAGGAATCGGGGGAGAAAGGGAAGGGGGGATTGGGGCGGAAGGGGAAGGAGGGATTGGGGGAGAATGAGAAGGGAGGGAGGGTGATGGCAGACACAAGAGAGGGGGATGAGATGGTGGATGCGGGAAAGGAGGGGGGAAGGGAGGAGGGAAGGGAGAGAAAGGAGGAGGGAATGGAGGAAAGGGAGGAAGGAAAGGAGGAGAAAAGGGAGGTGAGGGACGAGAAAAGGGAGGGGGCAATGGAGGAGATAAAGGAGGAGAAAGGGGAGGAACGGGAAGAGAAAGGGGAGGAACGGGAGGAGAAAAACTGGGAGAAATTGGAGGGAGGGGTGGAGAAAAGGGAGGAGAAATTGGAGGTAGGAGTGGAGAAAAGGGAGGAGAAAAGAGAGGAGAAACAGGAGGAGAAAATGGAGGGAGACGTGCGAGGAGAGGAAAAGGTGAAGGCTGGGAGGATGAGCACTGAGGCGAAGGGAGGGGATGAGGCGAAGGGAGGGGATGAGGCGAAGGGAGGGGATGAGGCGAAGGGAGGGGATGAGGCGAAGGGAGGGGATGAGGCGAAGGGAGGGGATGAGGCGAAGGGAGGGGATAAGGCGAAGGAAGCGGATGTGGTTGGTGCAGGCGAGGGGGGACATGCTGCCGAGGCGATGGCAAACGCAGGGCAGGTCGAAGCACAGGGGGATAGGCCAGGAAAGGGCAGGGAGGAAGGAGCAAAGGAGGGGAAGGAAAGTGTAAAGGAGGGCGAGAAAGGTGCAAAGGTGGGTGAGGAGCAGTTGAATGGGGAGAAGGTGAGTGGGGAGGAGAAGGCGAGTGGGGAGGAGAAGGCGAGTGGGGAGGAGAAGACGAGTGGGGAGGAGAAGGCGAGTGGGGAGGAGAAGACGAGTGGGGAGGAGAAGGCGAGTGGGGAGGAGAAGGCGAGTGGGAAGGAGAAGGCGAGTGGGGAGGAGAAGGCGAGTGGGGAGGAGAAGGCGAATGGGGAGGAGAAGGCGAGTGGGGAGGAGAAGGCGAGTGGGGAGGAGAAGGCGAGTGGGAAGGAGAAGGCGAGTGGGGAGGAGAAGGCGAGTGGGGGGGAGAAGGCGAGTGGGGAGGAGAAGGCGAGTGGGGAGGAAGAGGCGGAGAAGGAGAAGGGCTGGCAAAATGAGAGTGAGAGTGTGCGGAAGGAGGACAAGGCGGACAGGGGGAAGGTGAGTGGGACGGAAGGGGGAAATCTGGGTGGGAACGAAGAAGGAGAGTTGGGTGGGAAGGAAGTGGGGGAAGTGGGAGGGGTGAAGCAAGGTGTGAGGAGTGGTGAGGCGGGCAAAGATACCACTGGAGAGAAGGTGGAAGCGGTGAGTAGGAGTGGAGAGAAGGTGGAAGCGGTGAGTAGGAGTGGAGAGAAGGCGGAAGCGGTGAGTAGGAGTGGAGAGAAGGCGGAAACTGTGAGCAGGAGTGGAGAGAAGGCGGAAACGGTGAGTAGGAGTGGAGAGAAGGCGGAAGCGGTGAGTAGGAGTGGAGAGAAGGCGGAAGCGGTGAGTAGGAGTGGAGAGAAGGGGGAAGCGGTGAGAAGGAGTGGAGAGAAGGAGGAAGCGGTGAGTAAGAGTGGAGAGAAGGAGGAAGCGGTGAGTAAGAGTGGAGAGAAGGAGGAAGCGGTGAGTAAGAGTGGAGAGAAGGAGGAAGCGGTGAGTAAGAGTGGAGAGAAGGAGGAAGCGGTGAGTAAGAGTGGAGAGAAGGAGGAAGCGGTGAGTCAGAGTGGAGAGAAGGAGGAAGCGGTGAGTCAGAGTGGAGAGAAAGAGGAAGCGGTGAGTAAGAGTGGAGAGAAGGAGGACAACATCAGCATGGAGAATTGTGGTGTTGGTGATGTGGAGGGGGGAATGGGGAAGGTGGAGGAGGGGGTGGTGGTGGAGGAGGGGGAGAAGAGGGCGGAGGGCGAGGGTGGTGTGAGAGGTGCGGTGGTGGTGAGGGCTGCTGCTGGGGTGATTGGTTCAGCCTGGGGAGACGAGGGGGATGGGGTGATGGGGATGGGGGAAGGGGCAAAGGTGGAGGGGAAAGGGGTTAAGAGGGAGGAGGAAGGGGCAATGGGAGAGGAGGAAGGAAAGAGGAAAAAGGAAAGTGCAATGGGTGAGGACGAAAGGGCGGAGGGGAAGGATGATGGGGCAAACGGGGAGGAGGAAGGGGCAAAAAGGGAGAAGGAAGGGGCAAAGGGGGAGGAAAGGGTGAAAGGGGTAAAGAGAGAGGAGGTAGAGGCAAAAGGGGAGGAGAAAGGGGCAAAGGGGGAGAAGGAAAGGGTGAAAGGGGAGGAGGAAGGGACAAAGCGAGAGGATAAAAGAGCGAAAGCGGAGGCAGGAGCAAAGAAGGAGGAGGAAGGAGTAACGCGTAAGGATGAAGGGGCAAAGGCGAAGGGGGAAGCCACGAAAGGGAGGGATGAAATGGAAACAGTGTTGAGGGATGGGACAAAGGGGGAGGAGGCGAAGGGGAAAGAAGGAGAAGAAGGTATGGCAATGCTAGGGGGTAAGGGGAGGGGGGGAGCAGGGGAGACCAGAGGTGTGGAGGGAACGGGAAAAGTGGGTGTGGAGGAGACGGTGAGAGGTGTGGATGGGATGGGGGAGGTGGAGGAGAAAGCAGAAATCAAGGTAGAGGAGAGAGTTGTGGGAGCGAAGCGAGAGGTGCTAGAGGCGATGCTTGGGATGATAGGGGTAGAGGCGGCAGGGGTGGAGGCGAGGGGCAGTGCTGAGCTGGCAGCGAGTGGCGATGGTGCCTGTGCGCTTGCTGGGATAGTGGGGAATGGGGCGGAGCAGACGGGTCAAGGTGCATTGGCGGCAGGCAGAGGGCAGCAGCAGGCGACAGAGCAGAGGGGCCAGGGAGGAGATTTGGCTGGGTTGGGAGTGGTGACGGGTGGGGGTGTGAAGGGCAGAGTGGGGTTGGATGCAGAGGTAGGTGGGGAGCAGGGGAAGGAAGGAGAGGGTGGGTTGGGTGCACAGGCGGGATTTGTTGGCAAAGGAGGGGGAATGGATGCGTGTGGTGGAAGGACGTACGTTGTGAAAGCTGGTGATGGGTTTGGCAAAGAAGGGAGAACAGAAAAGGTTGTGGGGAATGCAGCGAGCAGTGCAGGTCAGGAGGGTGCAGGGAAGTGGCGAGAGGTGAGCAGGTTCATGGGTGGCTGGGCAGCGGAAGCGAGGGAAGTGGAGGAGAGTGTGGAGCAGAGAGGTGGAGAGCGAGTGGGTTCTGGAAAGGTGACAGTGGAGGCTGGGGCACGGGGGAAGGAGACGGGGGAGGAGAAAGGGGAAGAGGAGAGAGGAGAGGAGGGGAAGGAGAGTGGGGAAGAGGGGAAGGAGAGAGGGGAAGAGGGGAAGGAGAGAGGGGAGGGGAAAGGGGAAGAGGAGAGAGAAGAGGAGGGGAAGGAGAGTGGGAAAGAGGGGAGGGGGAGAGGGGAGGAGGGGAAGGAGAGTGGGGAAATGGGAAAGGAGAGAGGGGATGAGTGGAAGGAGAGAGGGGAAGAGGGGAAGGAGAGTGGGGAAAAGGGAAAGGAGAGTGGGGAGGAGGGGAAGGAGAAAGAAGCGGAGGGGAACGAGGGAGAGGAGGAGAGGAAGGAGACTGGGGGGGAGAAGGAGAGAGGGGAGGAGAAGGAGAGAGGGGGAGGAAAGGAGGGTGCGGGCGAGAAGGAGAGAGGGGAGGAGAAGGAGAGAGGGGAGAAGGAGAGAAAGGAGGAGAAGGAAAGAGGGGGGGATAAGGAGAGAGGGGGGATCACGGAGAAAGGGGAAGAGAAGGAGAGGGGGGAGGAGAAAGAGGGAGAAGAGAAGGAGAGAGGGGAGGAGAAGGAGAGGGGGGAGGAGAAAGAGGAAGGAGAAGAGAAGGAGAGAGGGGAGGAGGAGAGAGGGGAGGAGGGGAGAGGGGAGGAGAAGGAGAAAGGGAAGGAGAAGGAGAGAGGGGAGGAGGAGAGAGGGAAGGAGGCGAATGTGGTAGGGAAGGAGGAAAGGGCGGAAATTGAAAAGAGGGTAGGAGGAATGGTTTGGGCAAACCAGGGGGAGGGGAGGGAGGAGGAAAAGAAGGAGGATGTGGATGAGAAGGGTGCAAAGGAAGGAGCAAAGGAAGGAGCAAAGGGGATGGCGTGTGGAGAGGTGCAGCGACGAGGGAGTGAGAGGGAGGAGATCCAGAAGAGAAAGAGAGATTGGGAAAAGGAGGGTGAAGGGGGAGATGAGGTAGAAAAGAAAAGGAAGGAGTGGGAGGGCGCTAAGAAAGAGAAGGAGAAAGCGGAGGAGGAGGTGGGTAGAGGGGAGGTGGAGAAGAGAGGAGCAAAGGTACTGCTGGAAGAGAGTGAGGGTCGTGCCTGCAGTGCTCTGAAGGTGGATGAGACGAGGCAGGTGGATGCGGCGGGGGTGGCAGAGCAGAAGCAGTTGGTGCTTCTTGGCAGTACAGCCACCCACGACTGGGCTGCTGTTGTCGCTGCCAGTGCCCACTCTCCACCTGCCACCGCTGCTGCCACCCCTGCTGCCACCGCTGCTGCCACCCCTGCTGCCACTGCTGCTGCTACTGCTCCTGCCACTGCTCCTGCCACTGCTGCTGCCACTGCTGCTGCCATTGCTGTTGCCACTGCTCCTGCTCACTCCCTCAACATTCCTACTGCCACCGAGACTGCCGATGCTGACACACAGACTGCCGAAGCTGCCACAGAGACTGCCAAAGCTGACACAGAAACTGCCGAAGCTGACGCACAAACTGCCGAAGCTTCCACGGAGACTGCCAAAGCTGACACAGAGACTGCCAAGGCGGATGCTGAGTGTGTTTCAGGGGCCTCTCCGTCCACCTTGAAAGAAGCTCCGCTTGCTGTGGAGAGACAGATGGCTCTGACCTGCCACACCAAGTCTGAGGCTGCTGCAGCTACTGTTGAGGCTGCTGCAGCTACTGTTGAGGCTGCTGCAACTGCTGTTGAGACTGCTGCGATCGCTGATGCAAGTGTTGCTGCAAGCCCTGCTGTTGCGGCTGCTGTAAATGGTATTGGTGCCACTGTTACTGGTGCTCCTGCTGATGCGGCTGATGCTGCTTCTCCTGGTGCTGCTGATGCTACTAGTACTGGTGCTTCTGCCACTGGTGCTGCTGGTGCTTCTGCTCGTGGTGCTACTGGTGATTCTGCTCCTAATGCTACTGATGCTTCTGCTCCTGGTGCTGCTGATGGTGCTGCAACGAGTCCCGATGCTGCTGTCATGAGTCCCGATGCTGCTGCTACGAGTCCCGATGCTGCTGCCACGAGTCCCGATGCTGCTGCCACGAGTCCCGTTGCTGCTGCCATGAGTCACGATGCTGCCGCTACGATTCCCGATGCTGCTGCCACGGGTCCAGATGCTGCTGCTACGAGTCCCGATGCTGCTGTCACGAGTCCCGATGCTGCTGCCACGAGTCCCGTTGCTGCTGCCGCGAGTCCCGATGCTGCTGCCATGAGTCCCGATGCTGCTGCCGCGAGTCCCGATGCTGCTGCCACGAGTCCTGATGCTGCTGTCACGAGTCCTGATGCTGACACTGCCGCTGCTATGACTGATACTGGTGCTGCCATTCATGCTGCTGCTGCTATTGATTCTGTTTCTATACCTGGTGCTGCAACAGCGATTGATGCTGTTACTACGAGTGATGCTGCTGCTGGTGCAACAGCTATTGATGCTGTTACTACGCCTGATGCTGCTGGTGCTGTGACTCAGGAGGTCGATGCAACTGCCACCGCACCAGGCAGGGGGGCATCCGACCATGCACCTCCCCCCCCGAAAAGGGTTCGCCTCACCACGGCATATCTGCGCAGAATGCTGGCTGGAAAGAGCAGGACCGGGGCAACAGTAGGAGGCGGAAGAAGAGGAGGTAGAGGAGGAGCAAGTGTGGGGCAAGCAGCAGGTGGTGGAGCGGGAAGAGAAAGAGAGGGCAGTGTGAGTGGGCGTGCAACTTCAGCACTGCTGTCACCTGCGGTACACCTATCACCAGCCATGCGTCTCTCTCCAGCTCAACAACAGCACGCCCTTGCTTTCCTCTTGGCCCAGCTCCACCCTCCCTCCCCATTCCCCACGCCCTGCTCGTCCTTTCTCCCGCCCTCCTCCCCTGCCCTTTCGCCTCCTCCTCTTCCTCTTGCTCCCAGCCACCAGTCGACCCTGGCAGCAGTAACAGCAGCAACAGCACCAGTGGCAGCAGCAGCGCCAGTGGCAGGAGTAGCACCAGTGGCAGGAGCACCGCTAGCAGCAGCAGCACCACTTGCACCAGCAGCAGCAGGTTCAGCTATGGCATCTCAGCTCTGCCCTCCTCACTTCTCATCCCCTCCCACTCTCCTTTCGCTCCCACCCTCCTTCCGCCCTCCCGCTGTCCTCCCCACTGCTTCTCACACGCCGACTCACATGGTGCCAGCAGCACAGCAGCATCTCTTTGCACCTTCCCTCCCTGGTAGCGTCGCTCCAGCCCCCACTGCCTGCCCTCCTCACCAAGCCTCTGTCCCTACGCACACGGACCTGAATGCCGTGCCGATATCAGGTTCGGAATTAAGCTCGGGTGCAGGCTTGGATACACGTTCGGGTGGAGGCGTGGAAGGGAAGGACGGAGAGGATGGTGAGAGAAGTGGGCAGGTGGAGAATGAGACCGGGGTGGATGGGGAGAAGAGAGAGGGGGAGACGAGAGGGGTGGAGAAGAGAATGGAGGAGACGAAGAGAGAGGAGGAGGAGAAGAGGGCGGAGGAAGAAAGGAGAGTGGCAGAGGGGCGGAAAGTGGTGCGGAGGCTGCAGGGGAGGAGAGAGGCAGGGAAGGACTTTTGGGAGAAGATTGATGATGAGGTGAGTGCGGCAGCTGCTGCTGTCTGCTGGTAATTTATGCTTCTGCTTATAACTCCTGCTTCTGCATTTACTCCTGCTTCTGCATTAACTCCTGCGTCTGCATTAACTCCTGCGTCTGCATTAACTCCTGCGTCTGCATTAACTCCTGCGTCTGCATTAACTCCTGCGTCTGCATTAACTCCTGCGTCTGCATTAACTCCTGCGTCTGCATTAACTCCTGCGTCTGCATTAACTCCTGCGTCTGCATTAACTCCTGCGTCTGCATTAACTCCTGCGTCTGCATTAACTCCTGCGTCTGCATTAACTCCTGCGTCTGCATTAACTCCTGCGTCTGCATTAACTCCTGCTTCTGCATTAACTCCTGCGTCTGCATTAAGTCCTGCTTCTGCATTAACTCCTGCGTCTGCATTAACTCCTGCGTCTGCATTAACTCCTGCGTCTGCATTAACTCCTGCGTCTGCATTAACTCCTGCTTCTGCATTAACTCCTGCTTCTGCAGCCCATGTGTGCGTCTGCTCATTGCCTTGATTGGCCACGTCCTCTCCTTGTTCACTCATCCTCTGTCTACTCACTCTCCTGACCCTCCCATCCCCCTCTGTGCCCCTGTCTGCCCATCAGGTCGACTCTCTCCTTCTGCCCCACCTCTACCCACACAAGGCCCCTCCCCCTCTGCACTTCCACCCACCCTCTCAGCCTCCTTCCTCCATGCCTCCTCCCCTCACGCCTCCTCTCAACTCCCTTCCTTCGCTTCCTCATCCCTCTGCACCCATCTCCAACCCCGCCCACCCCCGTGCACCCACCATGCCTCAGTTGCTGCATGTCCCCTCTCTCGGTGCACCCTACATGAACCTCTCTCACTCTGCGCACACTCATGGGCCCTCACAAGCTCACACACACACACCCACCACACACACCGGCACACACACACCCACACACACTGGCCATGCCGGTTCACCCAGCAGTCTCACTCACGCCCGAGAGCCCAGCAGAACCCAGCCAAGCAGCAAGCAGAAGGCAATAGTAGAGCGGCCAAGTCATAAAGACCAAGTACCGTTCAGTGCACCATTCGGGTAAGCAAGCATCCACATCGCCAGGGAACGAGGTGACTTTTGAGTCGACTCAAAAATCGCCAGGGAACGCCTCTCACATTGCCACCTCATGCCCTACTCGCCATCGGGTCGCTGCATTATTACAAATCCTTGCCTCACTGCCTCCCTCATCAACCCCACCCGTGCCGCTCTTGCCCTCAACCCACCTGTGCTTTCTGTTCAGAACATGTGCATGACATAAAGGACTTGTTACTCAATTCAACCTCCCTTCCCTTCCCCTTTCCCTGTCTCCCCGCCCACACTATATGACCCACTAGCAGGTTCCCCCTCCATCCAGTGGCCGCATTCCCCTCCCTCCTCGCCCTCCCGCCCTGCCCGTCTCTCGACTCGCTCCTCTCCTCGCTGCTCCCCGAATCAGAAGGAACACTGTCCAAGGGCATGTCTGGGCAAAGCAGAGAGCATGAGAGGGGGGGTATGGGCGTTGCAGGCAAGGGTGGGCAGAGTGGGGTGCGGTCAGATGGGCAGAACGAGAAAGAGAAGGCAGGCGGTGGTGAGGCCAGCAACGGTGATGATGCTTTGCTGGGGGGGTATGAAGCGTTTTTTCTGCCCCCGTTTCCCTGGCTGCCGAAGGCTGGTGCTCCTGGTAGACCTGTTCGGGCACGTGACCGATCCCGGGCAGCGGAAAAGATTAGTGGCAGCCTAGACAGTGAGATTGTGCAGAGAGGAGAATTGGAGGGCAGACTGGGAGGCATTGATAAGGATGGGAAGGGCGGCAGTGGGAGCATGCATGGCATTGGCGGTGAGCTAAGTGGATTGCTTAACAAAGAGCGGATGTTCAAACGTTTGAAAACAGAAGGTGATGGAGGGGGTTGTGGTGGGCGTGAGGTGGATGAGTGGACAGAGGAGAGTGTGGAGCGAGAGGTGGAGGATGGGGAAGGGGGGGAGGGGGATGGGGAGGAGGAGGAGGAGGAGGAGGAGGAGGAGGGGGAGGAGGAGGGGGAGGGAGAGGGAGAGGAGGAAGAAGAGGAGGGGGAGGCGGGCACGGAGGAAGTTGAGGGAGAGGGAGAGGGTGATGAAGGTGAGGAGACGGAGGATGAAGTGGAGGGAAGAGAGGCGGAGGGAGGAGAGGTGGAGGGGGAGGGCGACGGGGGCCACAGAGAAAAGGGGGTTGCGTTGGAAGGCAGTGTGGAGATGAGAGGCCAAGGCGAGCGTGAAGCTGACGGGATTATGACAAATGGTCTCCTCTCTGTGCCGCCCGCTTTCGCCACCCATGCAGCAGCACCCATCCATGACCCGTCAGCTGCACTCCACACGCCCCATGCACACATACATGCCTTTCCACATGCCCACACTCACACGGCTCCTCTGCACCCATCCGCTGCCCCTCGTACCCATCCGCACACCTCCCTCTCCCCTGCCCCTTCCTCTGCCATTCCACCCATCCTTAAGCACCCCAGACCTTTCCAGAGAGGGAGAAGTGAGCAAGGGAGAGGGGAGGGAGGCCGAGGGAGAGGAGGGTCGAAAGGAGGAGGGAGAGGGGATGGAGGGAAGGGGGATGGAAACGAGGGTGGTGGTAGGCGGGGCACGGGAGAAGGGTCAGGTGTGGTGAGGCGAGGGAAGGGAGTATCGTCTCCCTCTCCTCCTCTCACTGCCTCACCCGCTCTTGTTCCTCCGTTTTCGCTGCCTTGCGCTCCCACCAGTGGCACCACTGCTCCAGCAGCAGCCGCAGCAGGTGCAGCAGGCACTACACCCGTGTCTGCCCATGTGCTGCACTCCCCCTTTACTGCCCCTCCCTTTGTTCCTCCCACCGCTGCTGCTGCTGCTGCTGCTGCTGCTGCTGCTGCTGCTGCTGCTGCTGCTGCTGCTGCTGCTGCTGCTGGAAGTGCTACCTCTGATGCCGCTGCCTCCATGTCACTACAGCTACCGCCGCCTGAGTTCAAGCCCAGGCGAACCTCCTCCCTCTCCTCCTCCTCCCCCCTCCTCCGCCCGCCTGCCCTCCTCCCTCCCTCCTCTCCCCTCCTCCGGGCTGCCTCTGCAGCAGCTGCAGCCACAGCAAGCAGCAGAGAGGCAGCAGCGGACGAGGGGCTGAGGATGAAGATCTCTCTGGTGGGCGCTGGGGAGGGCAAGGGGCTGGTGGGGGGTGATGAGGGGAGGAGGAGGCCGCATGGTGGGCTGCTGATGGGCAGCAGAGGCAGCCTTTTCGGTTCCTCTGCTCTGGGCTCGGTATCGGTGGGAGCAGTGGGAGGGGTAACAGGAGGGCCGCATGCAGTGGGCGAGGCAGCAGCAGCAGCAGAGGCAGCAGGAGGAGGGGCAGCAGCAGCAGGAGCGGTGGAGGGCGAGGAGGAGGAGGATGCAGTGGCTGCTCTGGCTGCCATGGCTGCCGCTGCTACTGCTGCCCTACCAGGGGATTGTTACAGTGATTCGCCTCTTGCTCACACACACGGTGGTGCGACCACCACTCACACACATGGGGATGCGACCACCACTCACACACATGGGGATGCGAGCCCCACTCACACACATGGGGATGCGAGCACCACTCACACACATGGGGATGCGAGCACCACTCACACACACGGTGCACGAGACGAGTTCCCTGCCAAGGGGGTGCCCAGAGGAGCAAAGCACAGCACCTCTGCTGCAGATTCCCCTGCTTCTCCCGCTCGTGCTGCTGCCACTGCAGCTGGCAGCAAGCGAGCAGGCGGCAAGGGCCGTTTGGCCGGGGCGGGGAAGGGGGAGGGCGAAGGGGCAGGGAAGGTGGGTGCTGCGAGTGCAGGAGGGAAAGCAGGTGGGGTTGCTGGAGAAGTAGCTCTAGGGGCAGCAGGGGTTGGGAGAAGTGCTGCAGGGGGCGGTGGTGCAGCAGTAGGCGGTGCTACCACAGGGGTTGGTGCTGCAGCTGGCGGCGCTGTGAAGGTGGGGAAGAAGAAGGGGAAAGGTCCGGGATTTGTGGTGTCGAAACCGAGTGTGGCGGTGGGAGAAGGGGCAACTGCAGCGACTGCCGCCGCTGCTGCGAGTGGTGTTGGTGCTGCCTCAAGGGAAGAGCGGGCAGGCATGTTGGGGCACTTGGCTGCTCTGCTGGACCAAGCCACTGTGGGATCAGCAGAAGGAGGAGGTGGGCGTGCTGGTTGTGGGGGTGGTAGTGCTGCTGCTGCTGTTTCTGGGAGTGGGGTGAAGGTAGGCAAGCTTGCTAGTCAAGTGGAGAAGCGGGAGGGGAAGAAAGGGCTCAAGGAGCGGGGCAGGGAGCACAGCGTGCCATTGCTAAAATCATCAGCAGCAATGGCAGGGGCTGCTGGGGGTTCTGGGGTTCTCCAGAGAACCAAAGGTGCTGCTGCTGGTGCTTCTCCTACTGCTGATGCTCCTGCAAGTTCTGGTCTGCCTCCCCATTTTCCTGCTTCTGCTCCTGCTCCTGCTGGAAAAGTCTCGCCACTTGTGAGCCCAGCTCCTCCTGCTACAGCCGCTACCACTTCGACGCCATCCAGACTCGGTGTGAACACCAGCACCAGCGCCAGGGCCCCCCACACTGCTGCTGCGGATCACACAGGCAAAAAACGAGCCAAGGCAGGCGGAGCACCAGCAGGGCTGTCTCCCCTCGCCCGCCCCCTCGCCTCACCTCTCTTGCCTCCCCTCGCCTCTCCCCTCGTGCCTCCTATGGACCACGTGGAAGAGAGTACAGAGGGAGGGCTGGGAGAGGAAAAGAGTGGGGGAGGAGGGGAGGGTGCAAGGGGTGCGGGGAGGGAGGAGGTGGCAGGGGGTGTGAAGAAGGGCCGTGGGCGGCCGAAAGGCTCCAAGAAGATTGGTACGAGAGGTGGGTGTTGAGGGGTGAGGATGATTTGAGGTGGGTGTTGAGGGTTGAGGACAGTTTAAGGTGGGATTCAAGGGAGGTGGAATTTGTGCCTGGTGGTTTTTGAGGGATTGGAGTTTGAATAGGTGGCATGTGAGAGAGGTGGCATGTGGGAGAGGTGGTATGTGGGAGAGGTGGTATGTGGGAGAGGTGGTATGTGGGAGAGGTGGTATGTGGCAGGTCAACTACTGATGATACCCCTCTTGTGACCTGGTCTTCCCTTTCCCTGTTATCACCTCTCCTCCACGTGCTTGCTGCTGCTGCATGGCAGGTGATTCTGCAGCTGCTGCTGCACTGTTTCTCACATCAGCAGGAAGCAGTGAAGGCGGAGGAGCAGGAGAGGGAGGAGGGTGGACAGGAGGGGCAGGAGGGACAGGTGGAGCAGGGGTGAGCGGGAAGGAAGATACGGCTGCTCTGATGCTCTTCTCCCTCGCCCAGCTGGCTGATGACGCTGCCGAGGAGGGCGAAAGGGGGGAGGGAGTGGAGGAGGTGGAGGGGGTGGGAGGGGCTCAAGGAGGCGGAAATGAGGCTAGTGGAGCAGAGGCAAGCAGTGAAGACGCTTGTAACGAGGATGGAGATGAGATTTCTGCTGAAGCAGCAGGAGAGGGAGGCGGAGGAGGAAGTGGTTTGGGGAATGCGAATAAGAGAAAGCTATACAGGGACGGAGGCAAGGGAAGAAATATGGATGCAGGGAGATTGCAAGAAAGGACGATCGGTAGTGGATTTGGTGAGGGGAAAGAGGACAAGAACGAAGAGGAAGAGGAGGTGAAAGAGGAGGAAGAGGAAATAGAGGAGGAGGAAGAGGTGGAGGAGAGGGTGGTGGTGGCACCACGCAAACGCAGGCGCACCGCCACAGCCACTGAGGTGGCGGTGCTGCCAGGCGTGCGAAGAGATGCCGTGCCCACTCTTCCTCGAATTCGGAGGGAAGAGGAGAAGAACACAAAGCAGAAGGACCCATGTGAATTCGAGGAGGTGGAGGAGGAGAGGGAGGACGAAGCTGTATTGTTTGGCGATCACTCGCATGGAGAGGACACCTCGCACTCTCACTCGCATGGAGAGGACACCTCGCACTCTCACTCGCACTCCCCATCGCAGCCATCGCGTGTGTCTCCTTCTCTGTCCCCATCTCCCGAACCACGTTTTAGGCGTGTCAGGAAAGCATCATCACCACCACCATCGTCACCATCACCTCCACGATCGCCATCCCCATCCCCATCCCCATCACCATCACCATCACCAGCACCATCAGCGTCCTCATCCCTACCAGCATCGCCAGCTCGCAGTGGAAGCTTCGAGGATGCCAGTGGGGGAGGCGGTGCCGCCCTCTCCTCCTTCCCACTCCCTCTCCCCGCCACTCACAACTCAGATCTTATGCTTCTCTCCCCTGCTGCTGCTGCTGCTGCTGCTGCCAGCGGTCGTAAAAGGGTGGGTGCAGCAGCTAGGAGGGGGTATGGCGAGCAGGGGGAGGAAGCAGGGGAGGAGGGGGGGCAGGGGGGAGCGGAGGAGGCTGAGGATGAGGAGGAGGAGGACAAGCCGAGGAGGAGGCGAAGGCAGAAGCTGCACCTGCTGCCTGAGACACCCATGGGCAAGGGAGCTGGGAGGAAGAAGGCACGCACTGGCAGGGGAGGGGCGGACGGGGGAAGAGGTCAGTAGTGGTGTGGTGCGGTGGTGAGGTGAACGAGGGCATGCGGTTCCTAGTCCCGCTGGTGACAAAGTCAAACGAATTCAACTCGGGCCAGACTGGGCTCGCCTGTCTGTCCATGCCTGGGATAGGGTGCAGTGAGGGATAGGGAGCAGTGTGGCATAGGGAACAGTAGGGATAGGTGCAGTAGATATAAGGTGCAGTCTGGGTAAAGGGTGCATTAAGGGATATGGTGCAGAAGGGATATGGTGTGTTAGAATTTAAGCTGTCTGAATAGGATCGTAGTCTTAGGATAGTAGCTTCCTGTAGCAGTGGAAGTCTTATATGAGTGACTTGTAACAGGATCAATATCTCTGAAATCAAGTATATTAAGAAATGACAAACATATAGAATATATACTAGGATAAAGTACCTATTCGCTTAATGTACCTATTAGCCTGAAACGGTACGTGACTATTCGCGATACCTACAGCTACTGCTGACGTCATCCTAGGGCGCGTAGCGCTTTGCTGACGTCAGCCTATCGGTACTTTTACTGTACTAACTACACTACACGAATTCCTTGAAGTGCACAAGTCTCGATATTATCTCAACACTCCCCTTCACTTCTAGGAGTTTGGTGTAGTCACCCTGTTGACTCGGAAATGCCACTGAGCTGGTTGCAGTGATGAAATTTCTGACGTGTCAGCTTCTTAGTAAGCGAATCAGCGGCCATGTCGCTGGTGGGGCAGTAGACAAGGCGCATTCTCCCCTTGTCGATCGCGTCTTTTACGAAGAAGTAACGCAGCGAGATGTGCTTCGTGCGATTGACGAAACCAGGCTTGTTGGCGATGGTAATTGCACTCTGGTTGTCGCACTGCAACGTGAACTGATTCGGCGTGACGAATTTTGCTTCGTCAAGCAATTCCTGCAGACCTTCGCGAGTTGCAGCACAGGCGGCGATGAATTATGCTTCAGCCGATGAAAGTGACACGAGTTCCTGTTTCGAGGAATTCCAGGAGATCGGACCAATCGGCTCGAGACGAAAAATATAACCCGTGCGTGACCGTCGATCTGACGTGTCGCCAGCGTGGTCCGCGTCAACGTACCCGCTGAGGTACATTTTGTCGGTCGGCTTCCCAGCGTTGAAAATCAACCCGATTGTTGGTGTAGAGACGAAGTAGCGTAGCGCACGCTGTAAGTCGAGAGAGTGTTCTTCTTTCGGGCAGCGTAGAAACTGCGCAAGGTGACTTGCGACGTAGGCAAGATCAGGGCGACAGGTGACTGCTGCGAAAAGGAGACATCCCAGCTGCTGCTGATACAATTGAAGACCAGCTGCTGACAGATTTTTCAAGTTGGGAACGTGCCCGGTGAGTGTAGACCGATAAGGTGTAGCAACGAAATCCGTGGAGATGTTGAAACGCTTAGCGAGTGACTCCGCATACTTCGAAGCCGTGAGATGAATAGCGGAAGAATTTCGCGAAACGTTTAACCCCAGAAATTGAGTTACTTTGGTGGAAATGGTTAAGTCTAGCGATTTCTTCAGATCGGCTTCGATACGATCACCCAGGAAGTCGACGAACTGACGTAGAGGATGTCGTCCACGTAAGCCACTAACAACGCATAGCTCCCCTTGTCGTCTAGCCGGTACATCCCGGGATCGTGCGGCAGTTGTCGAAACCCAACCTCCGTCAGCTTCCTGTTCAAATGCTGCTGCCACAGTCGCGGTGCTTGTTTGATTCCGTACAGTGACTTTTTGAGCTTGCAGACACTCGGCGGATTTGTCGGATAGGTGTGCGGATATTCGACGTAGATTTCGGCATCGACGTCGGCGTACAGAAAAGCGTTGGAAACATCGATTTGTCGAAGTGGAAAATTCTTCGCGGCTGCTTCGCAGAGAACGAGTCGAACACTCGTATGTCGACTGACCGGGGCGAAGGTAAGCGTGTAGTCGATCCCATGAGTCTGATCAAAACCGCGAACCACCCACCGTGCCTTGTGTTTCTCGTAAGTACCATCCGCTTTCGTCTTCACCCTGAAGACCCACTTACCGGTAAGAACATTTTTGTTTACCGTTTTTTCAATGGGTATAAGATCCCAAGTTTCCCTTTTCTCCAGGGCAGCCAGTTCGCGATCCATCGCTTCACGCCATTTTTTGCGATGAGGCCCTGAGAGAGCTTGTCGGGCAGTTTTCGGCTCCAAATTCACTATAGAACTATGCTGTACCGCTGCTGCGAGTCCCAGAATTTGCAGTCCGGTCTGATAATGCGGATTATCGTCGGTGCGACCTGCGAAATTGACAGAATCATTCTGGTCTCCACTTGCCCCCCCAATTTCGTCAGGGTTGACACGGATGCTGCTATCGGAAACCACCGGCATTGGTTGGCGCTGTTCATCCACGAGGTAAGTATGATGAACATCGCGAACATCCTCAGGTGCCGCGTCAGCAAGAGGAATAAACTCCGGAATTCCGGAGGACGTGACAGGGACAGGTGGGTCGGGAACAGCTTCACGTGCACCGTCGGGGTAGCGAATGAACGAACACCGTGGAAAAGCGTGGCAGGGTTTTGCTGCGTGGCAAGATGCTGTTCGAAGACGGGCAGCGTCAGATTCTCGTAGAAAATACAGTCGCGAGTAGGAACAAGGAGACGACTGCGGTAATCCATGATACGCCAGGCAAGATATTGTTTTTCAATGCCGAGATGCAGCCCCCACTTAGCACGCTGATCGAACTTCCCGAGCGGAGCGGTGGGAGGACGATATTGCACAACACACCCAAAAACTCGAAGAAGTTTCGTAGTGCCCAATTTTCCTGTCCATAACAAGTGAGGTGATGCGTTGTATGGTAAAGCCGATGAAGACAGGAGGTTGTGCAACAGCGTTGCATGGTCCATCGCGAAGGGCCAGTAGAGTGGACCGAGTTGAGACTGTGCCAGTAGAGCTCGCATCTTTTCTTGCAAAGTACGATTGAGACGTTCAGCGACACTGCTCTGCTGGTGAGCGTGAGGAAGTGAGAACAGGCGCCGTATGCCTCGTTCTTGCAGATACGTGGTAAACTCGAGGCTGCGATATTCCCCAGCTCCGTCACACTGGAAGCTTTTGAGTTTTGTGTCAGACTCGCGTTCTGCGAGTGGAAGCCATGTCTGAAACGCTGTGAAAGCAAGAAAACGGTTAGTCATGTTACCAGTCCAAACATATCGAGTAGAAGCTTCAGTGAACGTGATAACATATTTCTCGCCGCTAAAACCTTCCGCAGGTAAGTTTAGAATATCGCTGTAAACTTTTTCCATCAATCGATAATCCTCAGCTCCAGGAAAATGAGTCGGGTACGGTTCGTGCAGTAGGTTCGCCGCAGGGCAGATGGTGCAGGGTGCCGGGCGATTCACTGGCTTCAGTTCGAGACCGCTCGGTAAGAGTAACGAATTCTTATCAAGCACTGCAGCTTTGATCGTGTTGTTTAGCGTAAACTGCGACGGATTACCAAGTCGCTTATGCCATGTTTCTCCCGTGGCTTTGTGACCTTGTGCGCGCAGGTAATACTCGGCGTTAGCGAAGAACGATAACAAAAGCTGATGACCATCGGAGCGGATCTGATCGAAAGCAGGTGCGACGTAACGAGTAAGATTTGGTGGTGGAACACGAACCTCAACATCCACGTACTCGCCTGGAGCAAGTACTAACTCGCCGCTTTCTTGATCGGATGCTGCAGGTACAGGTTCAACTCCAACGAGACGACCCGAGTCAAGAATCTCCATATCAGCGACGCGTTGCTCAGCTTCAGCGAGAAGACGATCATCGCGTTCAGCAGGCGTCTCGCCCCAAGTTGTTTCATCGGGTTCGTCAGCCCCCCAGATGCCGTCATCAGTCGGCATGTTCGTCGGATCACCCCAACCTTCAACAGCAGCCATGTACTCCCGGGAGGACTGAACGTCATTCAAGCCTTGATCGTCGAAGGTCAACATGACGGCGGCAGCCGTGGTTGAAGATGTCGGGACAACTCCCTCACGTGGAACTGTATCGTCGGTGTAATCAATGTCGTCGCGATGCTCCCAAGGACCAAGTGAGAGAATGTTATCAGAGTCGGCAGTAGTGCGCTCAGGTATGAAGTTCAAAACGAAAACACCGTTTTGCTCAACTGCCGTGCCGAGTTTCTTGTTGCCGTACTTCAGAGTGAATTTCCCAGGTTCACCGAGAAGTGTAATCCCGTTCTTCATGAGCTGTGCAGATGACATGAGGTTGAAGCCAAGCTGAGGGACCAGAAGAACTTCGTTCAGGTGAAGATTGAAGTCTTCTTCAACTGAGTCCAGAACGATACTTCCCATACAGTGAGCTGTAAGCCGTTGGTTATTGGCGACCGTGACGACAACGGGATTCTGCAGACGGCGTTGATTCACAATGAAACGAGTCTCTGACGAACACATGTGCTGACCGCAGCAACTGTCGAGGTACCAAGTATTGGGACCTGCAATAGTATGTGCAAGATTTGCATAGACCTCAGGTGGAATCGGTGTGTTGAGTTCGTTGTTGAACCGGTTGTGAATCCGCTCTTCAACATCAGGATCATAAACCGTTGAAACTGATGTCATGCAGGTAATAACTTGCTTTGACTGTGTCTTCGCAGGGTCCGGCTTCGCAGAATTCAGCTTCGCAGCGTCCGGCTTCTCAGCTTCCGGCTTCTCAGCTTCACTTGAAGAATCTTTGGTATGTTTCGATGCAGACTGCTTCCAAGATGGTTTGTCTTTCGACCAGCAGGTATCAATAGTGTGTCCTGTTTTTCGACAAAAAGAACAAACGGGCTTGTGACGTGGATTAGAATAAAAGCTGACCGTATTGTTTACCACCTTTTTCCCTCCTCGAGCGTTGTGCAGGTCCATATCCTGCTGCTCGGCGATGAGAGCGGCACAGTGTGCCCCCTCGGACAACTGTGCTTGCATCCGAAGTATAGAGCGACACTGTCGCCATTCTGGTCCAAGACCCGCGAGTAGCACCGTGTGAAACATAGCGTCGGGGAAGTACCCTCCACACTTCTGAA